GTCGTTTCTAGTCATGGTACATACTAGTTATAATACACAAGCCGCAAAAGCTACTGATAAAACCGAAAGAAGCAAAGTAATTAAAGCTGACAAGAACGAAAAGGTCGACAAAAGTGAAAAGGTCGACAAAGGCGTAAAATTAGAGACAAAACCTGACATTAAATCAAGAAAAATGGCAACACCGCGTTCAAGAGGTCGTGGTAAACGTTCAACTAACACACCAACTCGGTCATCACCTCGGATCGTGCGGCGATCAGCTTCTTATCCAAACGCCGTTAACAGACACTTCGTTGATAGTGTTCCCATCTTGGAAATCACACTCAGATTCGATGAGGACGAGTATGATGTCTGGCGAAGGCAGGATACCGATGAAGTAAATCTTTATTATTTGTTACGTATCAAATATCCTCGTGATGAGGACGAAGAGGCTTGGCAAGAAGAACTTGAGAAGCTGAAGCGTGAAATAAAAGAAATTCGAGTTATTGATGAAGGCTGGTTTGAAGGTGTTTGGTACGTTATTATTTTACATTTTTTTTTTTTTTAAAGGAGAATTATCAAACCCTTTTGACATTTTTTTTTTCCTCATATAATACAAACATTTAAACTAAACCAAAGGGTTCCTCTTGAACATGGTACGTTCCGTTTGTTAGACTATATTGGAAGTTAACATAGTCATTTTCAGAATAATATAATCACAACTTTACAAATTTTATATAAAATATCAATTATTAGCTAAAGATATCGCTCAAAAATACAATATATACGAACATGTTGCCGCTCTACTAGAATCAGAAAATAGTTGGTTTGATACACCTAAAAAGCAAAACACAAAAGTTAAGGTACAATTGATTATAATTATTTTGGTTGATTATCGATTTTCGTTATTATAATAATAATAATAGTAGTAATAATAATAATAATAGTAGTAGTAATAATAATAATAATAGTAGTAGTAATAATAATAATATAATAATAATAATAATAATAGTTTTATACTTATATATTTTATATTTATATAGTCTGAGCGTGAAAGTTCATCCCATACAGAAACTTTGGAACCTCCGAATATCACAGCACTTGCTACTACCAGCACTCGTTCTATTGTCAATAACAGTGTTAGATCAACGCCTAACGGAACAATCAAATCTGATGAAGTCAAGGTCCAACGAAGAACTTCTGCGAGATTACAGGCCCGTTCTGCGAAACAGGAGCCGTCTAAACGTCTCAGAGAAGTTGATAGTGATCGTGGTGATGTCAAGGAAAAAGTACAAAGCCTGAAACGAAAGTTGGACGAGAAAGAAGAATATCTGAATTATGGCATAAGCAATAAGAAACGCGCGGTTTGGGCCGGAATTGGAGCTGCCGTTGGCGCTGGTGTTGCTATGGTTATCATGAATAGCATGGGCATAGGCCCTACTGATATAGCAAGTGGAATTAGTGATCTGCCGAGTAAAATAGGCAGTATGTTCTAATCCATGAATGATGGGTAGAGATGTAGAAATGGTAAAGTTAATTTAGGTTTGGTTTAGGTTCTAAGAACTGGGTTTTTTTATATAATAAGTTCCAAACCTAAGTTAAATCTGTTTTGGTTTAGAACCAAATTTTTAAACCTGGTTCTCAATATTTTTGTATGACATAAAAAATAAAAATATATTAATAAAAAGTTACTTAATTCATATCAAACTTTTAGATATACTGTTGAACCTCCCAAAATCGATATGCATGGTGGGCAAGTTTATTATCAGTATTGAGAAAGTATCAGATTTTAAAACATTATAAACTATTAGATTTATATAGCAGAAACGTATTTGTAGATTAATTTTTTATCACATTTAACAGGGTATCAGATTTAACAGGATCAGTTTTGGGAGGTTCAACAGTATATGTTTTGAGTTTCTGAATAACTTTCCTTAATATGCTAATATTGATTTATTTATTAATAAAATTTTGACTTTTATAAGGTAAATGGGGGTAATATGGCAGGTGGGTAAAATAGCAGATCACATAATATCGAAGTTAACATAAGGTCTATTAAATAGAGTCTAATGATTCTTATACAATTCACCAAGATGAATCGAAGGATATAAAAAAATGTTTACTGGATTACCAAATAATTATATAAATGATCTTTTTATTTATATTAGATCGAGTAGATACTTTATGTCGATCATCCGTCGATCACCACTTTACCTCCCAAACGAT